ACTCTCTTCATCTCAATAATCAATCTCTCAAAAAAAAAAAAAGTTCAATTTGAAGTCTAGATATAGTCAAAATGAGTCCCTTCCAAAAATGAATATAGACTATTCATTTTGTGAATTTCAATATCTTCGCCTTTATAAATTCAAAATCATTTTTTTCTTTTTTAACATTGTTCATTTAATGATAATAAAGCCATCCAAAAAGTCATGGCCTTCCTCCAACATATTTCAAATGTTCAAGGAAAAAATGCACTTTGCATTCGCCATTCGAGACCATGCTCCCTCCATCAGGAATCCCTTCATAATGCTTCAACACTACACAAATGCGAAATTTCTCAAAGCTCGTCTAACTGGATTCTACAAGTAAGATTGAAATATTTCTACTCCTCTTTTTTATTTTCAATAGTGATAAATGACGAAATTTCTTTTCCTAATTCGTAGACTGTATTATAATTTTGAGAGTGAATGTGCATAGTAGTGTATCAAAACCCAGATTAATGGATTGGATCTTCAACCCCACAGATCCAAGTAGGATCATTGGATTGCAATCTAGATCGGTTCGGGTCAGTCTGAATTACTAACCTAGAAAATATTAAAAATAAATAGATTAAATTAAAACTTAAAATTGGGGTTTATGAGTGTGGGGTTTAGAGCAGTTTGACAAAGACTCTTGATTTGGAGAGAGAAGGGGTTTGGAAATGCAGAGATATTTGGAAGGCGATTATTTGAATATCATAAATTGGTGCACTTGTAGTGCTAAACCCCCATGGTGTCTAAGATCTTTGTGGCTTCAAGTGATGGATGCAATTTCTTCGTTGATTACCTCTTTTTAGCATGTCTTCAGGGAGACAAATGAAATTACGAATGGGTTGGCGAAGAAAGGAGGAAATCTCAACCAAATAGTTATTTCAAATTATTTATTTTTACCAATGTATTTTTTTCTCTTTAGTATCAATAAAAGCTAAATAATCTTATCAAAAAAAAAAAAAGAGCGTGGGGTTTAGGTAGGACCAAAAAAAATGTTACATAAGTCCATTAAAAAAAATATGAAAGGGAAAGTTTTAGAGGGAACCAGTCCAAGACCCATATTATCCAAAATGATTGGGCCCTACCAATTCCCCATCCAAGTCAACAATCCCGGCTCGAGAATTAATGGGTCTTAATAAGCTGGTGTATCGTGACCGTTCTTTTGAAACCAGGATCTATAGTTTTCGACATCCTCACGTGGTTGTTCTTTGTTCATTTTCATGAAATTTGTGGTTTGGTTCATTACTTATTTTATGGAATAAGAATGGTTTGTATTTTTTTTTTTCCGTATAGGGTGAAAGAGTTCTTACATTGTTTATATGAATTAGGAGTTGTCCTTATTGTGTTCTTATTTTTGGTTTAAAGTTGTACTATCTGTTCCTTTTTTTATTTTTGATAAATATATAAAAAATTAAATAGAAAATTTTCGAAATTGCATTAAGCACTAACTACGAAAGTCCATCTTCTTTCTTTCTTGCATTGTAGAGAGAAAAAAAAAAACTTCTTTCTATTTGCATTAACAAAAATATGATATAAATATTAAAGGAAAAAGAATATACAAGGTTGCAACCTTAAAATATAGAATTAAAGGTGCACATCAAAAATCCATCATAACAGGTTGTTTGGATGTTGGAAAGCCGTCTAATTGATCATCTCGACATCGAGATGTATAAATATGAAAGAAAAAAAAAGATTTCGAGTCCGCAAAATATTGTATCTTGCAACACATTATCTGGACCGTCCATTTTCAAGCGTTCATAGATCTACTTGATTTGAACCATTTTTATAGTTTAAAATTTTATAATTAGAGATGAAAATAGATTCTCAAGACATCCTAATAATTTTTTATATCAAAATTACATTTATGATAAAATTTAGAAGTGCACCTTAATTAAGTCTACCATATGCATACCACACCCAACATTAGAACTTCTTTCTATTTATTTTAACAAAAACAACATACTTATATTAGATGGGCCACCTCAACTTCATGGACCTTCTTTCAATATAATATCACATGCCTCCCTCTAGAGGTGAATCAAGGCCATTATCAGTTGACCAACATCTTACGCACATAGGCACACACACATATACACCCACAATAAGTAGAGACCTTAATTACTCATCTTAATCCTAAACGAACTCCAACTCTGCAACCTTAACCCAATCCTATTTTTAAAGAAGAGTTATGATTGAAACCCAAAAACCAACCCTAATCATCTTAGGAACTCCATCAATTTATAGAACTTATCGGTAATCCTCATTCATTAATAAGATCATGTGATCTCCCTTCTTAGCCCTCTTCAACTTGTGCTCCCATTTCCAAGCCATTTGCTGG